TTGACAAATCCTACGAGAATCTTATGAAACAGTCTTCCAGCCAATAGGGAGCTGACACAGTGAATTAGCAGGAGAGATGAGACTCCAGACTGACATCTAACAATGTGGCTCCTGGGTTTACAGCGTAAACTTAATGTTCTGGCGCGTACGACTCTGTGATGGGATGTCGATAAAGGTTAGCTTTTTGAAACAAGGAGTGAGGAGTGTTAGAGCGGAGTGCAGTGGGCAGAACTGTGGCAGCCTGCAGTTCTGACCCAGCGTCATGTAAAAGTGATCAGGATGCTAATTGTGGAGGAGATAAAAAAAACACGACTTCACTGATCTCCACTATTTATCCCTGATGTTTTATGATGACTCTGCACATCAGCCTTTTATTTATTAATTTATTTTCATTTTTTATTTTTTTCCCACCAGCTGCTTGATTCTTTTTCTATCGTTTTCTCCTCGTGTTCTCTCCTCCACACTCCATCTCTTTCCCATCCTTGTGACTGAACTCATTCTCAACTATTTATTTGCTTTATTTCCTGAGATCAGCTATAAAGAACAAACACTATTAAGCCAGTCAGGTGATTGGTTTTTAACAATTATTAAGGTAAAAAATAAAACTGAGTCTGTAACCACAGCAGTGGATGTCATGAATATTTATCAGGAGCTCACATAAAGTCCATATCACTGAGCAGATTCAACTGTAGAACCGCTGGATGAAGGTAGAAACTCGACTGTGAGGGAAAGGTGTGTTTGGTGCGTTCGTCCTGGCTCTAAAGGAGCGGCTGAGCTCGCAGCCTTTACCCTCTGCATGTCATTCTGCAGGGCGGCCTGAGTGTGGAGAAACAGGTTCATTCACAAAGTGACACTTAATGGGATATATACAGATTGTGTCATGCATTACAGGGCACAGTGGTTATGGGAGCATTCTCCGAGAAGAGAGGCGAAGAAATATTGCAGCATCTATCAGAGGCTTGGCCCCAGTAGAAAAGCAGGAGCTGGAGGGGGGAGGCAGGGGGGAGGAGGTATGGATGGGGGTTGGGGAGGTGCCAAGGACATTTAAGAGAGCTGTCAGGGGAGGCTGATCTATGGAGGACCCTGTTGGCTAAAGCTTCAAACACCCCATCATAGCAGTACGTGTATGTGATGAGCAGCAGCACCGACGCATGCCGCAACCCATGCACACGACACACTGCAGGTAGAGATGATCAGTAAGTCTGCTTCAGTGCACAGGTCGCTGGGATCAGGGAGCAGGAAAAGGAGACAGGGAGCAGGGAGTTAAAGGAGAGCCCGTCTTCACAAATACATTTGATTCCAGCTCAAACTGTGGTTGAACCACACAGGACGGACGTTCAGATATTTGTCCCTGTGAGAAAGCTTCTAAATTAGCCAGCCTTATTTCACCAGCACAACAAATGAAACCGTCCATCTCAACGTTGGTCCAAAATAGCTCTGTCACTCAGCACACACAAAAGGTTTCACTAAAGTGTTCTTGCCTTGTGCTCTTGTCTTACAATGAGGAAATCACTTGTTCGATCCTTAGGTAAGTTTGAAATGAACTTACTTGACCCCGCATTTAAAAGAAAAAAAGGGAATTTTTAAGGTCACCGTTTTCATGTAGATAGCAGTAAATTGTCCAATGACTTGACTCGACTTGACATCTGTGGACAGACTGGGTCACAGCAGGGACAGATCACCAGTCTGTCCGTAGGCCACGACACGCTTTGACATGTCTTTCTGTGACTTCTCTGTCCTCAGTCACTTCCTCTTCCAACAGTAATGCACTGAGTAATCAACCAATCAGGTTGTGTGATCAAATATCAGATATCTAGTATTTTAATTATCACCATCAACGCAACTGTCTAAGATGAAGAGAAGAAGAACTAGAGAAGTGGCTGCTGGGAAACGGTTGCCCTCAACGATGATGGTTTAACTGCTGAAAACTCTTAAACAGAGGGTCTAGGAACCATGTGGGGTCTATGGGGATACTGCAGGTGGGTATTAAAGTTTGGGTATATATATGTGTATATATATCTAATATATATTATTTGGAGCTAAACTATCATTATTCTGGGTTGTATAAATATGACCTATTTGAGTACCGTCGTATTCTTTGTATTTGTAGTATTTTTTTTTAAGATTACATTTGTACAAAATACACTCAAACAATAACAAACAAAAACCCCAACAACGGTGGGTATTAAAGTTTGGGTATATATACATATGTATATATATCGTGCCATCAAACTTCTTGTTTAACGTGAAATCAATGAGGATACACAGCATGTGAGTGTTGCCGGGGTGAACTCAGGGCTGGTGGCCCACAGGCCTGTTGGACCGAGGACTGAACACCAGGCAGAACTCTCTGCCAGAGGGACAGAGCTCTGGGACCATTACTAAAACCTAATGATATGAGAAGTG